CGGTCTCCCGGGGGCCGCGCTCTCTGTGCACAGAGACTGTTCCTGGAGAAATGTCTCATTATTTTCACCCACTTTATTATCACTTTCTGGAGATTTTTTTCTTAAAATATGCAGCTCTTGGTTCCAGCTCCTACACCCTGCGGTGGTTTGGTCTGCACTCCCCGGGTTGGGGCCGCTAGGGCTCCTTTAGGGCACGTGACTAACTCGCCGTAACATCAGCTTAGGACGCAGTCAGAGCCACACAAAAGATGGAAAACTTTAATAGGGTGAGAGATTTTAATAAAATGGTTGTGCAATGCTGGCAGAGCTGTCAGAGTGGTTACAGGTGAGATCTCAGTCCGGGGGTTAGCCGGTGACACTCCCACATGTCCCCATGTAGTTCTCTGCCCCGAGGACCATGGGCTCCTAGCCCCGTGACCACATCTGCATGGAGCTGATGGCACAGTCGTGTGGCCATCCCTGTCCTGTCTCCCGTCTCCCAGGTGGGACACACATGGCCATCGCCTGCAGACCTGTGGGGACCTCACATGGCGTCCAGGGAGTTCATGTGCGAGGGATTATGGGTCCAGGTTAGTTGGCGGGATGGCTCATTTTTAATACAAGGACCCAACCAAACAGAAACCGGCTCTTTTGCTCAGTTCCTTGGTCCTATTTAATTACTTCTGGGCCATTCCATATCCCTGATCGCTGGGTTTGGGAGGGGACCCCGTCTGCCAGGAAACACCCAGGGGAGTGTTTCCGCACTATCCAGAGCCTGGGAGCTATGCGGACGCTGTAAACAGATGTGGGGCCTCCTGACGATGGTAAACACCCCTTAGCTGGGCCGTCGTGCGGAGCCCCCCGACTCTGCCCGTGGAAGGATCTGAGCACTGACTCTGCAATTTACCCCTCTTCTCAGCTCACCACACGGACTTTCCCCATTGAGCACTTCTGTCCCCTCCGGGTGTGAAGGGGTCACTGTCCCCACCTGACCAGAGTGACCAGTCATAACCCAGAGGTGGAACAGAGCACACGGGCCTGTGTCACTAGGTTTACATCCTGTAGCATCAGTGACCTGCAGGAGATAAGAATAATGTCCCGTCCTCTGCCCACCGCTTCCCTTTGGGCCCTGCAGGCTCAGAGCTCGGCTGGGACTGTGGGCATTTGCTGCCAGGGCATCGGCCCTGCTGGCTGTGCACAGGTGGCTTTGTGCCCAGGCCCCGGATACCCTGTGCTCACCCCTGCCGGCCTCGATCCCCCGTCACATGTGCAAAATGTGTTGTTCAGAATCTCCACCTGAGACCGAGAGGAGATGAGACTGGGTGTGTGTAGTGTGTGTGTCTGTGCGTGGGGGTGCGTGGTGTGTGTCTGTGGGTGTGTGGGGGGGGGTGTGTCTCTGTGTATCTGTGGTGTGTGTGGGGTGTGCGTGTGTGAGTCTGTGTGCGCCTGTGGTATGTCTGTGTGTGTCTGTGTGGGGTGTGTGTGAGTCTGTGTGTGAGTCTGTGTGTGTGCCTGTGGTGTATGTCTGTGTGTGTGTGTGAGCCTGTGGGGTGTGTGCCTGTGGGGTGTGTGTGTGTGAGTGTGATATAATTATTTAGCAATCTTTAAAGCTGCGGAAGGAGTTTGTGTTCCAATTAAGCTGCAGTGTCTGGAGTAAATTACAGTGAACCTTCCTCCAGCCCCGATGTCTAATTATCTCCGCGAGCCTCGCAGAGAGTGGCAGAAGATCCGTGCGTGGGAATTAAGGGACATTTTTCAGCTCTGAAACAGGGTAACGAAACACTTAAGCGGAGCTGAAAATACGGGTGCTCAGAGGCTCCGGGGAGTCAGAGACACTGAGCCGATTCCGCAGGGCTGTTAGTGTGCTGACGGCTGCAGGCGCGGAGTGTACCAGGAATTATTCATAATTAACATCTACTGTGTAAACAGCCTATTTTAAACAGCTCACAGCCCAGTGTCTGCAAGGCAGTGAGTGAGGTGTCCCCCCCTTGGCGCTCCAGAGGCTGGGAGCCTGTCCTGCCGTGGGTTCCACGTTGGCTCTGGCTCTGGCGCTGCAGTGTTCCGTTGGCGTAGATGTGGCCCCGTCCCTGAGCGTCCTGGTCCCCAGGAGTCCTGGGGCTGCCTCGAGGAGAAGGGAAACTGGTGCTCGAGAGTAGAGAGCAGTTCATGGTTCTTGTGGTTGAGAATTATAACAAGGAACATTAATGAGCACCTACTGTGCGCCAGGTGCTGTGCGAGGGCTTTACCCATGTTAGC